GGTGAGTCTGCCAAGTCAGCCTAGCGTACACTAACAACTGACACAGACGGAGATCGGGAGCGTACAGTAGGTAATAATGTTGACGCCGGGGAAGTTCTGGCATACCAAGAGCAACATGCCAACGGAGACGCGGTTACCCCCTTTGGAAGGGGCGCTTAAACATCTCGTGGAACGTCATGCGGTTCGCCGTGCGCTCCTCGACCTACTGGTGGATCTCGGAGAGCTCGCCTCGGATGTATTGGGGGTCGGCGGGCAGGGCGCGGAGGCCGACGAACACTTTCTCTGCCTCTCCCCAACGGTCGTGGTTCGCCAGCCATCGCAGCGATTCGGGGCATTTCAGCATGCCCAAGAGAAGGAGGGCACCGCGAACGAGCCGCAGGCCAAGGGGAACGATCCACTGGGCGGCCTTGAACGAGGAGGTCACAGGCGCAGTTGATCTTTGACGTGTCAGAATCACCACTGCCGCTCTGTGCTTTGCTTTCCTGAGTCTTACCCAGAATCCTAGCATGTCACCTCCCTGAGACGTAATCTCCGTCTCCGCAATATACACGGGCACAATCAGCGGCGATGCCCTGATTCCAAGACCGGCAACGGCACATCCGACAATGAGCATGGCGAGCAAGCCGTTGCCGCCGTCGTGAACACACCGCCGGTGACGAAGACAGTCGCGGCGACAAAGATGGCCTTTCTCCGACCAAATTTTCTAGGCGAGTGGGAAGGTCAGCTGCGAGCCGAAGAAGAACCCGGTTTGGAACGTGGACACGATGTTGCCTCACAGAGTGTCACGATACGTGCCCAACGCTGAGAGGAGACCAATGTCGAGGCGGAACGAGTCTAGAGCCATGGTGTCCGAAATAACAGACGTGTCGTAGCCCACTGATGGATGCATTGGTACGTGCGGAATTGTTAGCAACACTCTTCAGGCGCGCGCAGTCTTAGGCGAATTACTGGCGATGGCGGACATGGAGGCAATGTTGGCCATCATATGGATGCACCAGTTGCGCACACTCTTCGGGTCGTTGGTCTCGCCGGTGTGGAGGTCGAAGCCCATGCTTGCCTGATACCTTGCGGGCTTGGGAGTTGGAGTGGGAGAGGTACTAATCTGGGACTTCCTATAGAGAGGGACTGTGGGTGATTGTCAGTGGGCCATCCAGTCTCGGTGGCGATGGATGAGGTCATATAGTGCAACCTCGTGGAGGTTCATGCCTCTGAGTCGGTGTCAGGTCGGAAGAAGAAGGTTCTTCTGTCGTCGTGTCATCCGCTGGCGTGGGTGAGATGGACGGGCCAACCTAAGACCCGGCGACCTTGGACGACAACCATGTCGTGACACACTCTGATAATCCTTCAGGTCGAGTCACTCTACGTTTGGGGTACATCCGAAGAACGAACTGAAGCCACCTTGCTTCGTCAAGACCCAGTTCGTCGTCCCGTCCCCGCGGAGGCCGTGGGGCCTCAACGAGGAAGTATAGCAGCCCGGAGGTTCGGAACTGAGGATTGAACCTTGTGTGGCAAAATAAAACTATGGAGGGATTGGGCCGGCTCCAACTCCTCTCAGACGATGCAATGGAATGCTGGTGAACCCAAGTGGTTCGCGGATGATTGTAGGGCCAAATTACCAGCTGTCGCACAAGTTCGGGGGAGAAGGTTGGGTACAGAAAACGCGGGGTGTCACTCCTAGACACTTCCGCCGATCATGGATGCCTAGGTTCCTGTTACCGTACCTGCGGCCGATTCTGGCTTCACAACAGTGCAGCAAGTCCTCTATCTTAGGCGACTGACAGCACCTCATTTCTGGCTGCTTGGTAGTACTGAGCTATAAGGACTGCACCCTTTGATAAGCAACATTGTCTTCACTGCAGCCAGAAAGTGAACTGGCGCCGAGTAGCATTGCTGCCCCAAACCAGACAGCAGCGGAAGGGTGTAGGAGCGACACCCCGCAACTCGTCTCTACAACAGTTGGTAATCCGGTCATGCCAACCACTCCGCCAATCTCTTGGCTTCACCATCACTCTATCGTGGGGTTGCAACAATTCTCCGCTATGACCAGCGCGTCATTCTCTTGCCAATCCATCCGAAAGCTTGCTTGTCAGTCGCACCTCGTCGACATCCCTGGCCGTGTTCGCGGCCGCCCCTTGGTCTTTGGAGAACCTGGGTGGATTGATACTGTTGATCCGCGCTGCGGCAGTCCCTGACGTCGCCGTGATCAGCAGACGATTCGAAAGGCTCCACCTACTGAACAACTCAACGAATGCCTCGATGATTTGCGACTCACCGGTCCCGCCCTCGAAACCGCCGACGAACTGGCAGAACTGGTGGCATATGATTGAGAAAGCGATCGACTGCGTTTTGTCAGCCGTGTTGCCAACTCTCTGCCCGTCGCCGAGAAAGGGCTGATAGGCCAAATTGGGCTTGCATTCCCGCCTCTGCGTCGTCTGCGGTCTCATCGAAGTCAAGTCGGCCGTCGCCATTTCGACATCGTCCTCCCGTGGCCGGCCATGACTCTCCGCGATGCAGCGCCGCAGCGCGGCGGTCGCCTTCCGGACCACGGTTATATCTTGTAACGGTATGCCATGGATCATCCTCTCCCTCCCTTCGAAGCACTCATCTGCTGCGACTTGATGGCCCTGACCTGATTTTGCGGTGGTAGTGCGGCCCCGGAAAATACCCGCCCCTACATACTTATCCGTCTCGCCCCACGTTCGGGTGCCTCCATGGCGTAGTGGTGACACGTCTGGAGCCTCTGCGTCGCAGAAGGGTCGGTTCGAAGCCGGCTGGAGGCACCCCTGGTGAAACAGGGCACACCCGGGTTCCCGCCCGTCAACAGGGAACAGCGTCATGAGAAAACACAATCGGCGTACCAACCACCATCAATGACTAACACAACCACGCTTCAACTTCGACACATCGCGCTTCAGTTGCTGGGAATAGGATGCTGAACACTTGGAGAAATTGACCTTCAAGCAGGTCTGTCATGGAGCAAAACAGTGGTACGGTTGGCGCAGCGTAAGATGATCTGTGGGGCTTGGGAGTCAAGGAACAAACGTGCGGAACTGTACTCTAGACTGTGTAAAGGCCTTATAGGGACCTCCTCCGGGCGAAATAAATCCTACCTACCTACCACGTTCGGGTAACCACGGCGGGCTCCAGCTCGGCCGTCGAGCACAACACGGATTGTTGGAACCGACAGAGCTGTTGCATCATCGCCATGAGCTCCGGCGACTTAGCCGCCATCTAATTCGAGTCCACTGCACCTCGGACAACGTCGATCAGCCGCGTTGCGTTTCCGATGCTGTTAGACTGATACATCACTGTAGATTCTGCGCCCGCATCGTCCGTCCCCACGTGTCCGACCGTCGGATGGCCATCTCCGGAGGAGGATGCCCATCGCTTGGCGTCGCGTTCTGCGTCCTCGGCTGGTCGTCGAAGCAGTTGCACGTTATTGATGAGACATCCTATTCTCGGAGCCAGCGCCTTTCGCGCCCGCGCCCGGATGCTGTTGATGTCGCCCATTTCTTCGCACAGGAAGAACTCCCATGGTACAAAGAAGTTAGCGCAAGCTGCTGCACGGCTGCCTTTCAATGGTGAAAAAAAATTGGGATCTCCCATATCCGCCGGCGAAACGGTTTCCGCACAATCCCCCGATGACACGAATCCTCATCGTCGTGGGCAAAGTCCCTGCTCAGGTATTTGAAGGCGGACGGTGGCCTGCTTTCCCGGCCGCCTGAGCACCTGAACCCAACGTCTTCCTGGCGGTCGCCCATCCTCGACAGGGGCCTCTCCCCAACCTGCACAGCTCCCGTCGTTGCTATCGCGTTTGAGTCTGACGAGCGATACGTAGTCGTACAGGTACAGGCCTAGCAGGAGCTCTCCACGGTGCTGATATGCCTTGACGTGGGAGCTCCTGAGGCCTGCTTCTTCGACGACGATCGACCCATCCAGGGGATCATCTGCCAAGCCTCTCGCTGCGAGCCGTTGTAGAAGCCTGTTTTTGAACACTCCGTTATATGCGCCCTTACGTCGAAGCTCACAAGACCAAGCACTTTTCCCATTCGCCATGTTTTGTAAATGTTCTCTTGTAGGAGCACGAGAGCCTGCTCTGCGGAACCCCTCTTCCTGGCTCCAAAGCGGTTAGTAGGCAACAGCCCAAACGTTTCCATCGGAAAGGAAATCCGCTCGGCCATCACCGCCTCCAGAAGTGTCGCGAAGCACGTCTGAGATCTTGAGCTCGGGGTGACCATAAGGGTATACAGCTAAGGCCCCGACAGGCTAGACAGAAAGGCAGCCTGCAGAGAGTTCTGAGGCTGCAGAAGGCTATTAGGAGACCGCATTAGGCAGCCACACAAGCTGTAGAGAGACTGCATATACGGGTGAAGCTGAAAGAGCCCTCGGCGACTAGGAAAGTCAGTATGCAAAGGGGGCTGGGAAAGGAGCCCGGCCCTAGATATTGTACCTATACAACTGAGAAGGGGATATCAATAGGGAACCAAGGGATATAAATAGGGAGCCTAGAAGAGGGCATTGAAAAGGAGGACGCAGACACAAGGAAATACAACACATCACCCCTATTGTTACACAATCAATGCCCACTTGCATGCTCTCTTCGTGAGAAGAAGACTCCAAATGGGAGGGTCAAAATAGTGTGCGCCCGCGACCGGAACAGACTGCCACCGACCGACACAGTCGAACGAGCACGCCAAACCTCTAGTCGCAAAACGGGTTGCAAGTTCTCAATATTAGCTAAAGAGTCACTAGATGGACACACTTGGACTCTCAGCCATCGACCAGACAAGGAGTGCGCTGAGCACAACCACTCACCAAGCGGGGACCCGTCGGCACACCCAGTGCATCGCCGACTCGAAGAGCGCGACGCTACCAATATTTCAGATCTTGTGGCGTCTGGTAGTGCTCCTCGGGATATCATAACATATCTTCATAGCCATTCGAGTACTCTTGCCGGCCAACAAGACATTTATAATTGGATTGCGGCGACGAGAAGAGACCTACATCAAGGCCAGAGCAGCATCCAAACACTGGTTGGTCAGCTGCATAATGAGGGCTTCTGGTGCCGGGTTCGAAAAGATGTAGACAATCGTTTGACAGGCATATTTTTCGCCCACCCGGACTCTGTTGCATCGATGCGGTCGTATATCTGTAGGATTGTGCACTGGCCAGACTGTTGGCGTGCCCGCCTGATTACCTCAATACCGAGCAGTTGCTCGTCATGATCGTCAAATCTCGGTGACGCAGTCCAGCTGGCCAGCGCCATTGCCACTGCCGCGATTTCTGCTATGTACGGGTTCTGCTCATCCCTCGATCCGAGGGTGACCGAGTAGCTGGCCAGCACCTCGCTCGTGCTGTTGAGGCTAGTGTCGTGAACGACACCTCCTTCCTCTGCGAGCTGGAAGTGGCGACGACGATACCTTCCACGTCGTTTGGCTTGACCACCTGTATCTGATCCCGCTCGCCCACGACGCGGTCGTTCCGTGGTGCCAGAGTACTCGTGGATGATCTCCATTCGCTCTGTGTCTGACTCCGCGATCATCGAGGCAATCCTTCGCATCGACGAGACGAGTCGCTTGCTCGCTTTGACCTTTGATGATGCCAGAGGATGCGTCTTGGGGAGCGTCCGCAGGCCGATCTAGAACCTCGCCGCGACTTGACCGTGCCGTTCTCGAAACGATGCGATGCCGGCCTCAGCCTCGGCTATCACCGCTGCAACTGTGCCGGAGGCTCCCGTGACAGCCCTGTTCCCCAACCATCTGGGCCCTATCTAGCTAAGCCGCCTCTCTCACGCCGCACGTGTGCATCCGCACACTAGAGGCGGAGTGCATGGTTGGCGCTACCGTCGCGACAAACAGTTTTCTCGCCATTTGCAGGGATATCATCTTCAGTCTTCGCAAAGACATGCGGCCGTGAGCCGTTTGGCGGCCGCTCTAGCCATCTGCTCCATGGACCGGCTTTGTGCCCGACCACCCCTAGTAGTTTCACGCTGCTCTTCGGTATGACCTCTTGTCCTTTGGTCATGAACGGTGTGTCGCAGGTGCGCTCCATTGCTCTTGTGAAGTGAATGACAGTCGTTTTGTCCGCTTCAAACGTTGCGCCGCTGCATCTTTCCCACTGGAGCGCTTCGGCAATGATTGATTGGATGCCCTCTCGGTTCGCCTCCGCCGTTGGCCCCGTCACCGAGGCTGAGTGAGTAGTCGTCCACCAACGCCCTCACGCCGCCTTTGGCATTGATGCGTCTCTGCACCAAGTCTGCGTTGAAGAACAGCAACGCAATTGGCGACAATGGTGATCCTTGCGGCAGACCTGCTTGGGGCAAGACTCGTTGCTCGGACGTGTGCCCGCTCACTACCACTGAGGCCGTCCGTCCCGGAGCAGAACGCATCCCTCCAATCCACCAGTCTATCTGGTATCCCCCTCGCTTCATCCTCTCCAGCACTCGCTCTTTGCAGACCCCGTTGTACGCGCCTTTGATATCGAAGGACCACCTTGCCAGTTCGCCATACCATGTAAGTCTGTTCCTGCAGGAGCATGGGTGCTTGCTCCGCTGACCTACGTTTTCTCGCCCCGAGGTGATTTGCGGGGAGGAGGCTACGGGCCTCCGCTGTGTAGGAGATGCGTTCCGGCGTTCCGCGACAACCGCTTCTAGGACCTTGCCAAGGCTGACAGGAGAGAAATCAGTCTGCGGCATGGAAATGTTCATCAGCGCTCGGAGCCGATGCCTGCGTCAAGAAGCACGCAAATAGAGCCGGAAAGTGCCTTTGTCGAGGCCGACAGAAATGATCGTCACTTTGCGCGTCTCTGCCAGGAGAGTGAGGAGACGTAGCGCATTTTGAACTGGATGGTACATTTACTAAGGTTAGTAGTCGCTTCTATCTACTGCAGGAAGACGTGCTGCTTACAAGGTGCCATTGCTCTACAAGTCACAGCATGCTTCAGCTTCGTACGACCTTTGTCGAGATGAGTGCTCCTCTGCAGTACAGTACTGTAATACGGGGGCCTCAAAGTCGGCCACCACAGTCACGGGGATTGGCGGACTTTGAGGCCCCCCTAGTATGTATTGCAGCGTGACACGCTCCTGCATCTCACCCCACTCGTGGGATGGTTGCCACACCCAGGCAGCTTAGATGTCCTCGTTCTGCAAGTCGCGACACTGCAGCCAAATGCACTTCTACGTCCCCTAGCCCCTCGTTCCGAAAGATATTATGCTGCAGGGATAATGGCTGCACACCTAGGACGTATTTGGGCATGATACAGTAGCGTAGCTCCGGTGTTCTATCGAGGAAGGAGAATTGATAGGCGCCGTTTGCTGCCCCCGCGCCAAGGATGATGGTCTCCGGTCAGCGATGCTGCAACCTTGAGCGACAATTCTGTGAGTACAGTAAACACACACCAGGCCCCGGCAACCCAGCCGCCGCGAACTCCCCGATCCAAATTGAGCGCCAACGTGCTCTTGTGTTGTCCGAGCTGGCTTTCAATGTTAATGTGCATATTTCCCTTAACCTGGTTCGCTACCGTGAGGAGAAAGGATCCAGCTACAAAAGTAAAGTCAGTTAAGGATCATGTAGATATGTGGACTCCGCTTGGAGGCAAATGAGAGCGAAATTTTGATGCTGGGCTGGGAGGGCTCTTTGTACATACGAGCACTTTATGCACGTCTCGTGAGACGGCCAAGGTGTGCGTCTGAATAGAGCCGTCCCAGCATATCGATCAGTATGTATGAATGATTCCGCCCAATGAGAACTGGGGCTCAGAACATTACAGATCCTGGACTGAGGTTATGATTAGTTATCACCTAGCCTCATTAGACGCTATGCAAAGAAGCGACTTCTTGGTGAACGGTTTAGACGGCAGGGCGGCGACCATAGCATCAGCAGAAGGTCTAAATAGTGTCCGTGAGAAACACGGGACAGCAAGCTTTGCCAAAGCGCAAGTATGGTAACATGATTGAGGTCATGCACCCAACGCGTCGCACAGACTATGGGTGATTCTGCCCTCAATGTGTCAAGTTGCAATTTCGTATCTTAAAGCAAAATGTTTGTGTGATCTGGACATGGTAGAAAGCTTGCATCGGGAATCTTTGGCATTTGCGGAGGGCACGAATGATACCTAATAAAACAATAGCCGGTGGTGACGGGCCCGAACTGAAACGAGTGTATTTCACAAAGCCCTAACACGTAAAGCTGGCGCACAAAAGTTTTCGGTGTATGTTATAAACCTTATACTACTGTACTGTACGGCAGCTTGGCAAGCTCGATAGGCGGGGTAAGCCATGGGTCTTCCATGTATCGCCAACTCGGACAAGCATGCAGCATAATGTTCAGCCGCTCAGCACTGGGCGTGGGAACGAGTGAAATCAGTGTCCTAGAAATGGTGGCAACTTAGTCATAAATGGTTTAGTCGATACCCTGCACGCAAGCTGGGTAAAGCCTGTCGCTGTTTCCCGGCAACTCAGGGCAGCCCAGGGCCTCAGGCGGTATTCCGGCAGCTCAGGGCAGCTCAGGCCCTCAGGGCAGCTCAGGGCAGCTCAGGTCATCAGGGCAGCCCAGGGCGGCTCAGGATCGGCTCAGGGCGGCTCAGGATCGGCTCAGGGCGGCTCAGGATCGGCTCAGGGCGGCTCAGGGTGCTTCGAGGAGCCCAGGCTGTGCTCAGGAAAATGCATGTGCAGGTGAATTTCCGAGGTCCGTGGGGTAGATTCTGGTTGCTGTGTTGTGTAGGTGAGATATATCGAAGGATGATGCTGAAGCTTCGGGGATTCGCTGCCAGCCCTTTTCGTGCTCGGGATTGGCTGCACGACGGCTTTGTCGGGAAGAGGTAAGATAGGAGCGTGCTTGAAGTAGCTATATAAAATACTACTTGGTTCGCCCTATGAATATTTATCCATGTTATCCATCATGCTGTAAGTAGGAGGAGCGAGTTGGCCCTCAGTAGTTACTGTCGGTGGACTGGGGCAGCCCCGATAGGGATGGACCTGGAGAAGGGATTCCTGGCCTATGTATTAGGAACGCATGGGGACTTCATGAGTAAGGAAGGCTACCCCTTTATGCGTGGGCACAGCCACGTATGTGTGGGTAGAGCACCTTACTCAGGAGGTCCCCAGAAGTCCCTAAGACCTCGTGTATAAATAGCCCCTTCAGACTGCCCCTTTAGAAATAGAACATGCATCTTGAACCTAGCTGTGTGACCTCCTTATTCCGATGTGTATTGAAATAACATTTCACCAACAGTTACAGATGCGGTACACTATTATTCCTCACTCATTTTGCGCCACTGTTGTTTGACCGCCGACACCGTCCGATTGAGCTTGGAAGCGATCCAGGACTCCGACTTGTTCTCCTCTTCCATGCTCTTAGCCGACGTTCCTCTAGCGCTGACCACCGGCGGCGCTTGGCAAGCACCCTTTTACCGCTATTGACGATTAGAGGATCGTCCTCGTCGTCGCTACCAGAAATTCTATCATCACTCCCATTGCGATTCTCGTCGATAGGACTCAGAGACTCTGCGTTGGCAGGTACTCTGCGACTGCTCTCTGGAGCCGTAGACCTTCCGCGCAAGTTGTAATGCCGCTTCAGGGTGTTGCTCACGGGTTGGCTATGCCTTGCCTTGCCCGAAACATCCTTAGGGAATGGGTTGGATAGTAAGGACAGTGCTTCAAAGAGAGCTGCACGAAAAATCGCGCATGATTTACATTGTCCAGATTGTTCCATCTCTTGCGGTCCACGGAACGATATTGCGGAATGGGGCCCATTTTGCAGCGACCGCTGTGTGCCGTCTAGGGAGGTTGACTCGTCGTGGCAGAAGAAAGCAATAGGGTCAGAGCCAAGGCTTGCAGGAGAACTGATAAGGCCGCCCTGATGAGCCGCGGTTGGATAGGAGCCGCTCGTGGGATAGCGGGCAAGTGCCCTCACAGCCAATCGATTGTCATCGAGATTGTCGTCGTGACTGCCATTGATGCGACGAGTCTCCAATAGTCGAGGCCCTGGTCTTGAGAATCAATCCCATCGTCGACTGGGATCGAGGCAATATCGAAAACACCTGGTTGATGCAGCAAAGTGCGAGGTTCAGCCGCGGAGGATAACCTTAAACGTTTTGTTTCCTGTTGATCATCAGCGCCACTGCCATGATGGCTGTCCCCCAGTAATCGCTTCGTCCTGTTGAATATCGGTGCGATGACGTGCTGTTGACCTTCATTCAGCCAATGCTGAAAGCCCGCATCGTCATTAAGGGGGCTCTTCAGAGAGAGGCTCTCAGCATTGGCGGGTGCAGGAGCAGATGCGCTCGAGCCCGGCGAGGAAAGAGGGGAGGAGTAGTGAGGACCTCTGAGTTGGTCCATACCGAGCCTTGAAAGATCCACCGACTGCTTGGCAGTACCGGCTTTGGGCCAGGTCAACGCTGTCTGGATCAAATTGTCATCGGCAACATCTACCGTGGGCCCATCACCGCTGCCGGGCGGCTGGGTCTATCAGCGTTGGAGACTTCTCAGTGGCCTTGCTATCCCCTCCTGGATATCTTCCACCCGTACGATGGAACCTGAATAAAATTCTGTCAGTCCCGCGAAATGAACAGTGTGGCAGGTGGTGACTACCTGATATTGCCTGAGGATTGTCCGCTGCAAGCTGAGCCGCCACAGGCTTCAACGCACTGCCGAGGTGTTCGTCGACTTCGCCACCAGAATTGGAAGCATAACACCTGTCCATGGGGTGCGAGACAAACTGCATGTCATCGGACCAATTGTGGCCGGACCAATCGAGTGCCATCACGACTTCCTGGTCTTTGAAATGTCAGCAGGAATTTATCTCCAGTACGATTTCCCTTCAGCGGCATACCGTTCATCGTCAACAAGCCTTCTGCATTATGCTGTGAATATTGGCCTTCGCCGCAAGTTTCTAGTAACGTGGCATCATGACGACGTTCCTTGGGCGCGAGATCTGGGTGTTTTTTCTTTCGCTGCCTTTGCGGCAGGGAACATATGGTTTGAACTTCAGGAGCGGCCATGTTTTGGAGACCAGATGCGTGCGTAGTCTGTACTAAAGGTATGAGAGGGGAGAGGAAAGCTGAGGTGGGAAGCCTTCCTATTTATTGAGGGGCAGTTGCCCTCTCGCGGCGCGTCAACCAGATACCCAGCAGCAAGGGACTTTGAGCTGAGGTCGGACAAGTCGTCCTGCAAACAATTCCATCGCCGAGAGGTAGGAGCCGCAGGATCGAGACCGTTCCATATCAGTCATCCCCGTCAACCCCCTCTGTCACTGTCCCTGAAGGTTACTAAATTTGGCTCCGACGATGGTCAGCTCTCGGAACAACAGGGGACTACCTTCCGTTCCCGCCTGAATCCAGCTGCAACGCACCAACGGAGTCTGCAGCGCTGCAGCTACGGACTGGCAGGACCGGCGAAACGAGAGATTCGGGCCGACCGATTCGCAAGGCAGAATCCATCGGCGCCGCTGGTTGCACCTCTTGGGACCCCTGACCGCTCACGTCCCAACACTTTCACAAGGGGTGCGAACATGGACATCACCCTCGCAAGGCAGGGCCATTGCATCCTGCGGGCTTACCCATAGGAGGCCTGGTTGAGTCACACTCCGATCAGGTTTTGCAGTGCCATCCTGGCCCCCTTTGCGACGGGATAGCGGCGGGAGGATCGTCCAGGACCCGGTCCGGTCCAGTACCAACAAAGCAGGCTGTGCAGGACGCTTCAAGGTGATTTGTGCCGTGGAAAACTGCCACCCCGCCGACGGTGGGCATGTGGTATGAGTTGCGTCCTACCCAGATCCTTCTCGGTACAGTTTCCACATTTTGGGGTTAAACGTGATCGGCTCGGCGCTGCAAAGTTCCTGTATCTTAGTTCATAGCTAGGAGGATTCGGGAGTCTGTCCCACGGTGGTGGGCGCGCGCCCTCGAACGGAAAGTCCTGTTGGTGTTTTGGCCTGATGAGCAAGATTGTTAGTCAGGGCCTCGTGCTGGATGTGGGCTACCGCGAGTCCATCCTCTTTCAGTTCTGCCTCGTCATACTCACCCAACAACGCGTTCGCTCAAAAGTCCGTGAGTTTATCCCTGCCGCGCAACCGGCGAGCCGATGATTCCCCGCTGCATAATGAGAATCAAGCTTGGAGAGACGATCCATTCATCAATGCGTGAGAACACGTCACTCGTTGGTCGAGGCGGTGTATGACCGACGAAGATCCCTGCCATTCGGAAACCTTGCCCAGCGCAGGCTTCTGTGCCGCCCCAAGAGGTCGATCGGGAGGCGAGAAGAGATGGGACGCTGGTGTGTCTCCAAAACCCCGGTCAACTGTTGATTATGTGATTTCGGGTCGGCGTTAGGGGCCGGCTGCGTTCCCACTCTCGATTTCTCTCGGAGAATCCTTGCGATTGCGTACCACGATTGATGTCAATGTCGATAAGGCCTCCTACTCCTGCACCAAGCACCAGCGGGTGAGCAAGACTCCGCCTCATTTCCCATTCCAGGGTCCGTTCGCATTGATGGACCTTCTCGACTTCTTAAGAGTATCCAGTATTTCCAGAGGCAAAATCGATATGTAGAGGAACGTTAACACCGAAGCACGAAGTCAGCGTCCGCGGTGTCTGGCCACTCTTATCCGCATAGGGAAATAGGCCATAGCATGTGGCATGCCTGATTCAGTAATTTTGAACAGCCGAACCAATGTGCATCTAGTTGCATCACATCCGCCGCGCTCTTCCTTTGGCGAGATGTCGGGGCGTTGGTTGTACGGCCAGAAGGAGGATGGTGGCCGAGCCGGTCGCGCAGCCGACATCGTGCAAGCCCATAGGAGAAAAAGTTTCGAGTCGCCGGTGCCTTTGTGGCAGATATGGCGAGGATGAAGAACAAAACCTCCCCAAGTGTAGTTGCGAGGGTAATTCTCGTCTTGTGGCAACTGATGGGCGAAGGAACAGCGCGTTAGTTGAAAAGATGACTAAGTCAACATGAAAAGGAAGAACATCCATGGTACATGAGGAATACCTGGGCAGGACCTGGGCTTTTATGGGTGACGCAGAAGCGGCGGGGAATGGAGGCCGAAGATTGCGATGGGGCAACCACCGAATGTGGTGGGCCAAGACCACCATTTCGGAGGCGGACAAGCCGTCTTAACTTTTACTAAATAAAACAACCTTTAATATAAATAAATAGAATTATAAAGTATAGTATATAATTAACTATAAAGTAGTATAATATAAACGATATAGCGTTAATGAAACTTTAATTAGTATAAGAAATTAGTCTTTTAAACTTAATATAATATTATATAATAAAAATATAAAAAAAAACATTAATAATAAATTAAAAGAATACCTATATAAAACGAATAAAGACTAAGTAAAAATAAAGTATACTATCTATAAAAGGGCTATAGACTAGTATAATATAATAAGATCTAAAGACCTTATATATAGTAATAGTAAGCTATAGTAACTAAATAGTATTAGATATTTAAATTATAGGATATTATATATATATACTTTTAGATTATAGCGTAATAGGTAATTGTTTTACTTAAAGTTATTAACTATTACTAACTTATATAAAGATATAA